GGTTCCGGGGCCCTGTTATAGGGAAAACAAGAATAGACCCACTGCCTATCCAGAAGCATGTCGTAAGAGTCGACTAACTGGGAGCTTCTTACGAAGTCGGAGTGCATCTGCCTGAGAGGCAAGGAACCTGCAGTCTGCATACAAATGAGTCAGATCTGTGAAACAGATGCACACACAACACTCAGATTCTGGAATAGGACTGCAGTCCAGAAGTGGACAAACAACCAAAGGTTTCCAGCGGAGTTTACAGCTGGTGAACGAGAAGAAGAAGTTACTGTGGTGGTATCACGTGATCTGGGGCTGAAAACTACGACTCATATTATGTAGGGTCACTCTACATACACTTAAACACAGAGTGTTTTCCGAGTTTGGTTTGGAACTGTAAGATCGGAGTAAGGTCTTTCACTAAAATATTTCCCTGGAGAGAGAAGTATCGCTTTCTTCTTTTTGTGCTAGTTACAGTTTTCATCTTGTGAATGTATCATTTTCTGACTCTGTAAATGCAGATTAATATCCAGTAGATTTCTAGTATTAAAACATACAGTAGAAGGTGAGTATGCAGACACCTGGAGTTGTGGTCACATTGATACGTTCATTACGATGCATTGTCTAAATAAAGCATGTGTGAAATGTTTGCACTCGGTGGGAAATAATAGTAACCGTAGTTTTCGTGTGATGTTTCTACAGGGCGCTGCAGTGCCAGCGAACCAGCATTCATAAAAATCTGATAGCTTCCTTCATCCTTCGCTTTCTCATTGTGCTTCTGCTGTTGGAGCCTCATGTGTTTAAGCACTCATCCTGGTACAAATCGCCGGTAAGTACACGCTCACAGAGAGACTTTATGATCGTCACTAGACAAACACTCATTTAATTTAATGTCTTTCGGGATATGAATGATGTTTTAAATCGCCGTGTGGGTTCCGATGCAACAGTGTTCTGAAACAGTAGACCCACAGTCCATAACAAGAATGTTGCAACGGTCGACTAATGCCGATATCTCATTTGAAGCTGGAATAAATCTGTCTGAGAGGCCAAGAACTAACAGTCTGCATAAGCAAAAGCCAATTCTGTAAAGCTGATGTACACGGAAAACTTAAAAAAGGTTGTTGCGTATCCTCTAGAGGACGTTGCAGAACCAACCCTAACAGCCCCTGGCTGTTGTGTGGTTTCTCTAGGCAAATTTACGTCCAGTAGTTTGCCATTGCTTCTGGACGGCCGGCTTTCTTGATACCACTGTCGAAACCAACGCAAGGCGCATTGCCCGCAGCTGGGATCGAACCTGGCATCCCGGCATTACGAAGCGAAGTGTTCGCATCGACTTAGCCACAGAGCCGACACGGAAAACTTAGGTTCTTGAAATAGACTACAGCGCAGAAGTGGATGAATAACCAGAACTTTCAGCTTGCGTTTAGATTCGTTGAAAGCGAAGACAGTGTAGAAGCATAAGAAGAAGTTGTTTTATAGAAGAAACACGAGAATTCTGCTGATGGGAAAAAGCGTAACGTATATATTCTGAAATAATTTATCTTGAAAAGTAAAAGTATTACACGCATCAGTCCACACACACTTGATAAATTAAGATAGAAGAAAAACTGACAAACGTCGTAATAATGGTCAAGTCTGAATGAAAGAACATAAACGTAACGTATATATTCTGAAATAATTTATCTTGAAAAGTAAAAGTATTACACGCATCAGTCCACACCCACTTGATAAATTAAGATCGAAGAAAAACTGACAAACGTCGTAATAATAGTCAAGTCTGAATGAAAGAACATAAAAAAGGGGCTCGGGGTGTTGGGGTCCAACAATAAGAATAAGAATAAACTCACAGGGAGCAAGTACAGCGGGGATCTACAGTCATCAGTAGAAATTATCCTCGTCGACACACGTTTCGGCCCACGATTCCTAAACGTATTCGGAGGTGGGCCCACCTGAGTTCATGAAGCTCAGGGCTGCTTCCCCGCCGCACAGAATTACCGGATGGTGTTATACTTTCGGCCAGAGACAAGACGACTTGGTGGTTTCGAAGGAGGTACTGTGAGATAAGAAGCCGCCACGGCAGCGTAATTAGAACAGTCCGCATGCCTGGACGACCGAGCGACAAGCTTACTTTGGTTTACCGGACACATCTTGGACTTTTATTAGCAGTTGGCAGAGGGACACTGGCAGACAATTCGTACACGATGGACTTTTCAAAGGGATAAGAAACTCCTTTCCGCTAGACACCCGGACCAGCTCACCGAGGCCCGTCCCCTACGTTGTTGCGCTGCGTCCACAACCAGCTAGAGGCCCTTTCGGCTGCCTCTCCCAGTTTTTTGAGTGCTCGTTTCCGTTCATTACCGCGCAATCCTAATTCTTTCACCACATTGTAGAGCGAAGTGGAAACGAGGCCTCTCGCTCCCACTTCGACGGCAAATACCCGTACTGTGTAAGCCTCGTTTCTCCTCAAACCGGCTGCTAAATCACTGTATTTCTCGAGCTTATACAAATGATTCTCCTCCATCCGCGACTCAAACGGGACCGTCAACTCAATCAGGATGAGTTGCCGTTTTTGCGCAGAATGGAGATCTTGGGCAGTTAGGACCAGGTGATGTTGAAAATGATTGCCAGTGCACGAGTGAACAGCTAACACACGTGAGAGCCAGCCAAGCACAGCATTTTTTCTTCAACAATGTTTATTCTTAAGTGTTTTAACCTGAGAGCAACACATCTGAAGTGTTGGGCAATTGAAAAATACAGATTTGCGACAGAAGTGGTCATATCAGCAACTTAGATATGACGGGTTAACATAACAACAGAACTAGACAGGAAAAGTTCAGATTTGAGTACCATGTAAAGGGGTAATAAATTTTTTTTTTTTTAAACACACATAAAGCGAGTTTGTGTGTTAGTTAGTTAGTTAGTCTTTCCTCTTGTGTCGAGTGCGGCACATAGGGCAGAGGTCATGACTCTCCATGCATGGCGGTTCATTGCAATCTGTTGTAGGTCTTGGATGTTTGAGTGGCCCATGAGCGAGCCTTTCCTGATGATAGTTCTACGTTGGGTTTCCCTTGGTCTTCCACGAGATCTTTTCCCCTGTGGTGTCCAAATGAGGGCTTGGTAAGGAAGTCTTGATTTATCCATTCTAAGGGCGTGGCCGGCATAGTTCCAGCGGCGTTTTCGTATAAAATTAGACACATACTCTTGCCTGGATTCTTGCCTTATTTGTGTATTTGTTCGGGAATCTGACCATTTGAAATTTAGTATTCTTCTAAGGCATTTATTTTCAAAACTGTCTAATTTTGTGTCTAGAGTTTTCGTTGATTTCCAGCTCTCGCATCCATAGGTTAGTACTGGAATCACACAAGAATATAAGATCTTGAGTTTTGTGTGTTTGCTAAGTGTCTTTGATTTCCAGATGTTAGACAGTTTATTGAAGGCACTAGATGCCAGTGCTATTCTAAATGGTATTTCTGGTGCGGTATCTCCTGTAGATGACATCTTGCTCCCTAGATAAGTGAAACTGTTGACTTTTTCAAGGCTGTTGTTGTTCAGCGTGATATCAACTGAAGTGTTGGTAAAGTCTAGAATTTTTGTTTTTGCGGTGTTAATTTGGAGTCCAATTTGTTCTGAGAATTTCTGGAGTCGATTGATTTTTTCTTGGGCGTCTGTGTGTTCTGAACTCAGGAGTGCTATGTCGTCGGCGAAGTCTAGGTCTTCAAGAATTTTGTCAACCCATGTAATGCCTAAATTTGCGTTATTTATGCACTTGCGCATGACCCAGTCGATTGCTATACCAAAAAGCATCGGCGATAGGACACAGCCTTGCTTCACTCCTGTTTCCACCGGGAACCAGTCAGAATTGCCGGAATCAGTTCTTACACAGCATCGTGTTTCATTATAAAAAGAATTTATGATGTTGATATATTTCAGTTTGTGTGTGTGTGTATTAAAAGAGTTAAGGAATAGACTTGGTTTCTTGAATTAACTCTTAGTAAAAGGTGAGTACTTAAAGTGGCTGATGGTTATCAAACATATAGCAGCCTGTAGTCTGAGCGGCTGTGTATATGTTTTTTTTTTTTTTTTTTTTACATTCGCAAGCAATAAATCAATCAGATGCTTTCTCCACAACGAAGATTGCTTCCAAAAGATCTCCAAAATTCTCTATCTTCAACTCTGGATGTAGTCTCTCAGTCTCTCTTCATGTTTTCCTTCCACATGCAGCGCTGTCCTCCTCTTGGTCGCTTGTCTTCGTTCTCCCCCTTGTAAGAGTTGTAAGCCTGTTAAGGTGGCTACACTATATCACCTGTCACTTTCAACAACTATCTCTTCATTCTCAGACTTCAAAATTTAAACTTTAAGATGTTCTTCTGCTCTTTTACCACCAAAGGAGCATGGATCCTTAACCAACTCACTTCAAGTTATCGTATCCAATTATCCCACCCATCTCACCCCGTGTCTTCTTTTTTTTAAATTTTTTTTAAACTTTAAATTAGGAGTCTAATCCTAATTAAAATGTTCGTTGTCTGTTTATCAGGGCGTCACAAATAATTGTAAAATTTACTCCCTGTTGTGCCGTTTCCATTTTCTTGCGCATAAGGCACTGCCTGCAACTTACGTTTACAACTGTAACATGCTCTTACATGGATCATCTTTCACTGTTTACTACTGTTTTGGCTTTGGCCTTTTGGTGAAAAACGAAAAAAAAGATTTGTTTTCCTCTAAACTGCCGTCTCAGAAACTGTGTGCAGTTTATATATACGTGGGTGTGGCCTTTAGATGAGTAAATACAGTAAACCATCAGACTTACGAACACGCAGAGTCCCCAGGTGGAACAAATACCCAGAGATATGAAAGAAGGTGGGTGATATCTGCAGCGGTGAACTTCAAGAGCTCAGAATATTGAGGATGAAGAAGATAAAGAAACAGAAGAAGGAAAAGTTGGTGTAAGAACTTACCTTGTATTTATATAATCATTTCATGGTAGTTAATCACTAGAATTATTGCTTTCTCTGCAGGAATGGATCTGTCGAGCACTGATCACCTTGCAACAACTCAGCTACGTGGCCAATTTCTATTGGATGCTAGTTGAAGGTCTATATCTTCATCTAATTCTCGTCTTGAGACCGTTTGACAACGAGAAAGTGCCATCCCTGTTCTTCTATTTCATTGGATGGGGTATGTAATGATGCTTTCTTTTTCTCTTGCGTGTTTTATGTATGTAAACAGCTCAAAAATCTGCTCACACAAGTGTTGACTGCGTGATCTATTCCTCTGTATGGACATGTATGCTGGCTATTGTATCCCGATATTGCCGAGCTAGTCGCTTTGTTGTTCTCGAGATAAATGCATAAAATATTGTGGGCAGAGAGGAAATCAAACGCTCAGTTATTGAACATGGTACGCAACACAAATGTTAAGTGAGAAAGGCATAAATATTACTCATCAAAGCAAAAATAAAAAATAAAAAAAAAATTAAAAAGTTTTCGTGGCGCGCTACAGAAGATGTGAAAAAAGATACAAGTGTAACATTGGGAACGCATGCAATAGGTAATAAGAGACAGTGAAACACACACAATGATATTAACAAGGAAGCATACACGACTAATCAACTAATACATACAACTAATCAATAAATACTAACATAGGTGGAAGTCTATCAGAACGATACAAATGGGTGGGGTAGAACTGGATGATAATTTTAGATATAACTTGGTGCGGCAATAAGATCTGACGGGAACTGTTAAAAAAAAAAACAAGAAACGCATAGTTATCGGATCGCGCATTTTTATTAGTTTGTAAATAAAATATCCTACTCGGGTATGTGAAAAGCAGTCTAAAATGTTGTTTACCGTGTCCAGTGGCATGCGGGCGTGAATTGCGTGGGATTTTATAATCGTTACAAAGCAGATGTCAAATGTGTTTAGGATCATATTTGTGAACATAGCTTACGATGTGCGCATGAGAAAGCTACACATTTTGCGGTGAGCATTATTCACTGCCTACGCAACTGAAACTCTATAAAAGGATAACGCTACACCAAAACGATCAGTTCCTTTTCAAGCAATCACGAATGGTGACTCTATAGATACATTTAAGGAATATTGCTATCGGCCGATTGAAGGGGCAAGAAAGTCAGGCCAGGCATCTAAACGTGCATCAGAGTACCATCAGTCGACTTTGGCACTGGTTCCAAGCCATTGGTTTAGTTGAAGACTGACATCGCAGTGGACGACCCAGAGTGACAACAGCAGCAGCAGAGAATCGCTTTATTTGGCTTCATCGCCTCAGAGACAGGTTTACAACAGCTTCCTTAACTGCACAGGCATTGCCTCCAGGACGTCATGTGTCTGATTAAACTGTTCGGGACAGACTACATGATGTTGGACTTTGGGCTTGACAACCACACCGATGACCTGTCCTTACGCGTCGCTATCGCCAAAATCGACTTCTTTAGGCCAACATCGTCCCTGGGCAAGTGACAATAAGTGGAGACGTGTCTGGTTTAGTGACGAATCTTTCTTTTTGTTGCAGCGTCATGATAGACGACGTAGGGTTTTTTGAAGCCTTACTCTGGCTCTTTCCAGGGGCCGCAATAAAGCCTGGTCATAAATATGGCCTAAGGGCTGAACGCGGTTTCTGGGACCTCTCCACGGTGATCCTCACACACATGGTGGCACATTGTGTCAGAGGGTGTTTATTGTTTGTGTGATGTCCTGGTGAGGTAGAAAGTCAGTCAGTCAGTCGTAATTTCACTTACTGCATTACACAGATGCAGATTGTCAACATTTTGAGTATGTTTTTTCCTTTCAGTATATATGTGTTTCTTTTTTTTTCAACAGTAAAGTTTGGCAGAGTTAAAGCTAATATTCTTGCGCCATAATCATAGAGATCAGAAAGGAATTATCGTAGCAAAAATATAACTGGGGGGAAAAAAACAACAACAACCTACAATTCCCTGTCAATTACTGAGAGAATAAGGTAAACATTCGAAGTGCTAACATGTTGTTAGTTTTTGTGACACCCAGACATTAAGCAGGCCCGCTGGTAACACGGATGGGAAAAGAAAAGAAGGTTGTGATGTCAATTCAGTTAATATAAAGAACAGAAAGAAACAAAATGAGGCATACTGTTTAGAAAACAACGTCGGAGCTTGAGGCGACTGACATGGCAAGAGAAATCAAAACACAAGTATTGATCACATTGTTACAATAAGAAACAACGATGGCAGCAAACTAGGGGGAAAAAAACACTGAAATAGCCAGCGGATTTGTACACGCAAACTGACATGTCTTTGACAACTAGAACAGAGCAAACAGTGACTGCCAAAAAAGTAAACACTCTTATAGATTTTCCAGACAGACAAATAGGAAAAAAAAACATACACTTTTCTCGAGAACAACTGAATTGTTGTTCTAACTTATCATTCCTGACGTTATGAAATATTATGCATATTTATTTCTCTTGCGTTCGTCTTAAAAAGCCAGTTGTACTTTTTCTTGCGGTTTACAGAGATTCTGTATCTGAGCCTTTTGTCCCAACACCTCAGATGTCAGCTAACCAGAATCAGTCGCTTTGGCGACATGCTTTTTGGACAGTGGGTAGTTTAATTTTTAACAAAGAACATCCCTAATAAGGATGATTAAATAAACCAGCAAGAGGTGTGATATCTCAAGCTCGCTTGACTGAACACACACACACACACACACACACACACATATATATATATATATATAGCCATGTATCAGCTAGTGTATCCAGAACTGTAGGCGAATGAATCCTAATCTTCAGGGACGATGACATTTGTAGATTATCACCCTTAATAGACTAGGTCATTTCAGAAAATGTTCCCAGTATTTATCCAAATATCACGCAGAAGGGACATTTGTAGAGCAGTTTCATAACTCCACAGCAAATTAGAAGATCGAACTGCACCTTGTTATATTTCAGCATCATCAGTTACCAACATAAGGACAACTTACAAGGAAATCTGACACGGAAACAAAAGTGTGCCCAGGAACTATATGTAATAACAATAACGACATTGTTAATTCACAAACATTGTTCTCCAATGTACACTTGACTGCGAGTGAAGAAGATGGTGATAGCGATTGTCTACTCACTAATGATACTGTCGATGTAGGTTGTCAGATTTCTTAATCGTGTTCTGACATATTGTAAACCACTAACACGTGATATGTTGCTTGAATCCCCTAAAGAAAAGATTACAATTAGATGTCACTTTTTTGGAATAACAGTTGAGTTACATTTCGTTTCCCTAAGTTTTTCTACATACGTCTGTTGTCGCTAATACAAGGGCAATTTCTTCGTGTAACCAGGGAGTTCCTTCTGCTGATCTTTCAATGACTTCTGCTACCATCAATGATGAACTGCATTTCTAACGTGGGACTGTTTCTGTTGGCACTTCGGATAGCTACCATATGCTTTTAATGCGAGTGTATGCTAGATTTGCTAAGAGAGCAGTTTGTCAGTCTTTCCACAAGGGACTGTGATAAACATTCTGTGTGTTTTTAGCTGGCACAGGAGCGGAGCAAGGATGGGGTGACCCGTTTGCTATGAAGCTGAAATTAAAATTACCAGATTACCAGATTCTGATTAAATAAGAGTCGATTCGCTTAGTGACATTTATGAACAGTTTTCACAAGGAAACACCAACACTTATTATGGAAATTAGTTCCAAACTTCACGTTTACTCTCCTGGACCTGCTTGGGGCAAATCATTCTTGATTGTGTACTCATCGACATTGTCTGCCCCAAGGGATTAGTGAACTTGTCAAACTCGGGGACTGCCATCACCACAATCAGCATCCTATGGACTTAATAAGAATAGATCGTCTGACTAAGGAAAATTCAATGCAGCAATTTAGAGGCTGAATAAAAGAAAATAAGCCACACTTGTGGAAGCACATAAAGATTGTAATAAGGCGAAACAAATTGATTTTCTGACCATCATGTGGTGAATGTGGCTGATTGTCTTTCGAGAGCACGACAGCCCCTGGTCACACGGTCATATAAAAAGAACAAAATATGTTCTTTTCTGTACTGCATTTATGTCTTTATGGAATTTCATATTTCTTTTTCTTCTGCCTTTCTATCCCCCAATGGAGCATAGGCCCTCAACCAATTCACGCCAAGTCGTTCTATTCTTCGCCATTACATGGAGCTCTTCCCATGTCCTCCCCATCTTTCTAACTTCATTATCCACCTCTCTTCTCTGTGTGTTTTGGTGTGTGTGTGTTGTTGTTGGCCTTTCTTTATTCCTATGAGTAACTTCATATTTAGTTGATATTTACAGAATTTTCCATGATTTTGTCCTTGAAACAATAGAAATGTTATCACCATCATCAGGTATTTTGACGACAGGACTGTGCAGTCATGCTTTGGTACATATTGCGATCTCAAATATTATGTATCTACGCTACTTTATATAAGTTATCGGCCACATTTCGGCCACAAGAATAGACCTACAGTCTCATAAAAACATGTAATAAAAGGCGACTAATTCAGAATTAGAGTTAGTTTGTCTGAAAGCAAAGAACCAAAAGTCTGCAACCAGAAAGCCGTATGAGTAAAACAGATGTACAGGCGAAACTCCAGTTCTGGGAGAAGAATTAAATCTAGCAATGGACGAGAAGTATGTATGTATGTATGTATGTATGTATGTATGTATGTATGTATGTATGTATGTATGTATGTATGTATGTATGTATGTATGTATGTATGTATGTATGTATGTATGTATGTATGTATGTATGTATGTATGTATGTTTTGTGTATGTATGTATGTATGTATGTATGTATGTATGTATGTATGTATGTATGTATGTATGTATGTATGTATGTATGTATGTATGTATGTATGTATGTATGTATGTATGTATGTATGTATGTATGTATGTATGTATGTATGTATGTATGTATGTATGTATGTATGTATGTATGTATGTATGTATGTATGTATGTATGTATGTATGTATGTATGTATGTATGTATGTATGTATGTATGTATGTATGTATGTATGTATGTATGTATGTATGTATGTATGTATGTATGTATGTATGTATGTATGTATGTATGTATGTATGTATGTATGTATGTATGTATGTATGTATGTATGTATGTATGTATGTATCTATGTATGTATGTATGTATGTAT